ATCAATTCTTCATCCATCTTACAATTGACTATTTTATAACACTACATATCAGAGAAAAAATGACCAGAACCTTATAATGAAATTAAAATTTTGTATTGCACATTTTGTATTTATCTTTATTTGCATTATAATATCAAAGAAATCAACCACGTTTGTTTACACAGTTTTCAATGTGTTATGTACATTATAATCTAACACTTTAATTAGCAATTGAAATCCCCTTTTTGCATCCAATTTGAAAATTATTAGCCTTTGTTGACAACTTTATAAAACAAATGCTGGAGAAAAAGGCATTCGATTTTTTTTCAGGTTTTACTTCCATTGCATGTGTTATGTACTACAGTTTTCTTGGGTTTTACCACATTCAGTAAAGAATTGAAGGAAAACCATTTCCAGTAACAATTTTGATAAGAATTTTTTTTAATGATGTCCGCGAAATTTGATATATAATGATAAGGACATTTTTTATCCTTAAATGCCTAATTAAATCTCATTATAATAATACATGTACACATATCCCGTCATGTGTTATTTGATTGTTTAAAATCGCCATTACTAACAGTCGGAACGCCGATTTCTTTGGGAAATAAGTGATCGCGTTCTCAAGGTTACCGCTTAAACTAGTTTAAATATAGGGAAAACGTTTTGGTGGGTTTCAAAATGACCATTAAACGATGGTGATCGCTAATTTGAGGAAATCGTTCGGGCAAGATTCGCTATATAGGATAAGGGTGAGCGATATGTGAATATTGCCATATGCATGAAGTATTATTCTTTGAGATAGAGGGGTTCTTTCTATTGGGTAAAAAGAGTTTTTGGTTTACACTAGTCACGCTAATCTAATCTCCAAAAAATGAGAATATATCTTTTTAAATAAACAGATTTGGTATATACTTTTAAAAAGTTCACATCATAATGAATGTGTACTAAGTTTTTAGTTGTTGCTAAACTTTCTTGACCAAAAACTTTCTGAAAAAGTACAGATTTCACACTACTGTGAATTTATTGTTATACCGATTTCCGTGGATTTTGTGTGTAAATGTGGATCACAAATTTAAATTTGAACGTCTATAGGCTTTGATGAAGACTTCGGCAAACTAGGAACTTTAATATTTACAAAAACAAAATTCATTCTTTTTCTACGAAAATTGGTGCCCACGAGAATAAATGAATCAATAGTATCAAATTTTCAATTTCAGTTAACCGTGCAATTTTAGTCAAACCGCAGTTTGGGATATATTTATAAAATGTTCATAGTTTACATGTGTAACAACTTTCTTGTTGGTGTGACTACATCATGGAAAAAAACCTTAACCTAATACGGGAAGGAGAAAGGGACAACCGTTGGTGGACACAAAAATGGCAAACAAGAAGCAAAAGTACACAAAAACCTACATCATTTACAAAGATAACTGAATATTGAGAAACACAAATCACAAAAAAAATCTGTGTGATCTTATATGACACGAAAGGGTAAAAAGTTCCTTTTCAAATAAGGACACGCATTGTATGATACCTATAACTTCATCTGATGATCAGAAATAGCTGGTGACAGTCCAGTACATGTAAATTTTCTAATCCTTAAACATAACCAAATATATAAGTTTGAAAAGAAAAAGACTGGTCAAAATAAAGGCAATACTGCTACCGAAAGAAAATACACAGACATACAATGTAACAAAAGCAAAAGACAAACCTATGGGTTAACGTAGAGTTCGTGAAATTTCACCAGTTCCAAGCTCATTGTTGCAACTTCATGTTATTTCCAAACATGTTAAATGCGATTATATATACTCTGCTTAAAAATTAAACACTTATTAATAAGTCCGTTTTATCTTTAAAATAAATAGCTAAATGAATATGACATAAAAGAACATTTCAGTAACTAAATGCCAACATGCCAATTGGATTTTTCAAGTTTCAGTTACAATGGGGAAAAAAAAGTTTTCCTCAGGTTAAATCACTCGTGAAACTTTCGCGTATATGACTTGGGTGTTCAACAGGCAGTTATCATTTTGCTTCTGTGAAAAGTCGATGTTGCGATATCACGTGCGTTAAGTCATCGGCCGTCTTCATGATGGACAATCTAAACATAAGACACCGGACAGTTTAACGGTTATCAGAGCACAATTTTTAATCAAACAGCTTAAGATCGTCATAGTAGTGAAAACCACGCATCACTACAGCTAAATAATGGTATATTCGAGTGTTCCGTAATCAAACAATCAATGCTATAACCATGGTTGCTCCTATCCCAGGTTTACAGAGAAATTAAACTAAGACAGTTCGTAACAGGCTTCTCCATCGCGACATTTGACCAAGAAGACATTACGGTGGACAATTTGTGAATCAGATATACAGAAATTGTTTTGTTTTGCGGCGTCGGTGCGAATTTTGTTCAGCTATGGGACACGTTTTTTTCTTCCAAGATGTGACGAACGAACACCCGGATACAGGCATCAAAATGAGCGTTTAGTTCCTATCTGGGTACATGGAGTTAAATGCGATGGAAGCGTTATGATGTTGGCAGCAATAAAAATCAATCGAAGAAAACAATCTAGTGCTTTACCAAGGAAATATTACGACTCAACGTTATAGAAACAATTTTTTGCAACCACATATACTCAATAATATTTACCAAACATAGGGGGATGTTTCAGCAAAATAGAGCAATGGTAACCCTACATTTTTTAACACAACATTAAAGAATTGCAATGACCCTCCCAAGTTCTCGCATTTGGTCGATATAGATAATCTTTTGGACGAACTTGAAAGACACGTCCACCAACGCCAACCCCAAACTAAATCATTTGACCAACTCGGTAAAGCGTTGCAACAGAAATGGCAACAAAAAAAAACCTACAAATTCGAATGCAAACTTTGATTCGATCCATGTCAAGGAGATGTAAAACATTGTGAGCAGCACCTGGTGGTCACTATTGCTTCTTACTTTAATGTTACCGAAAATGGACCCAATTTATATATTGTGACAGATTTTGTCAAATTGTTGTACTTGCATGAAGTGTGTGCAATTTCACCTCAAAATATCAAAACATTGCTGTAAAAATCGGTTTGAAGTAGACGTTAACAATTATGGAAAATAAACTTATTAAAATTGAAATAATCTATTCTGTAGTAAACTTTAGTTATCAACCGACTGTCATCGGCAATTTTTAGATTTAAGTCGAGATACACTAGTAAATCAATTTTAGTCTTAACGAGCAGTTTGATCTTAACATCCTCTGAAAAGTCTGAACAATAAATTAGTCAGCCATGTTCGGTCTTTCATTTAATTTTCAGACTTATCCACCCCGGTAAATTCAGTATTGTTTCGAAAATTCGCTAGCAGTCAATTCAGTACTGTTCAGTAGCTTTTCAGACAATCCAGTATGATGTTGATGTGTACAAGTAAATAAACTCATCATAGATACTAGATTAAAATTTTGAACGCCAGTTTCGTAGCTTTGTTCGAATGCCACTGAAAAGTCACTAGTTAGATTTAAAAAAAGATTGTAAGGAAACTGAAATACTAAAGTTTGATAGCAGTTTACAATCTAAAATAGTCGTCGGTTGTCATGAATGTTAGCATCTATATAAAGTTTATTAGCAAATGGCTCTTTTTTTAAATTAGTTTTTCATATTGGTGTTTTTGGTTAGATTTTCCAATTTTAGTGGCCACGTTTAACATGACATGTTTAACATGTTTAATGGTAAATTGATTATAAATCATAACTCTTAAGAAAAACATAAAGAATGTTTCACCCAAAACTTGGTAGCATTCCGACTATCATGATTTATTTTTACATTTCATGTAAAATGCGCTCTTTTGTATAGAGGTGGCAGCTTCATTTAAAGGTCGATAAAGGTCATCAAACATAATTTTGAGTTCCATCCTAGATAAAATACTTTAAGCACATTTGCTATGAAATTTCTTTTGACTAATTATTCTTTCTGGAAATTTGATGGCTATGCTCGTGTTTGTGAGTTCATTATTCATAATTCCTTAATAACATCAAATTGGTTCATTTTGCGAGAATATGTAGTGTATGGATTATTACATGATTTGCAGTGAAAAGTTTGTTAAATTGTCACAGTTGCATCCGTGGTTGCAGGATGCTCTCCAATAACTTCTCAACTTTGTATTTGATTCTGCCTTCCAAAAATATAAAAGGCTATAATGAATATATTAGTAGCCATAATTTGGTAGTAGTTGACCATTAGAAAATGCTTTAGAACGTTTTATTGAATTGTATAACCGATTTACTTTCTTAGTAACGATGGCAATATTGTTTGGGGACTGTTCAAGTTATTCACGATTGTTCTAAAAGATTATCATACATGTCACATTTATAAAAAGCAAATGTGCCAAGAAAGGATTTGATTTATCCCTTTTGTATTGAACTACTAGTCCTATTTCTATTTTAGAAACGGTGGCAGCTATGTTTGATGGCTTCATTGTGATGTCACCAACATGAGTAATATAGAATCATTTCGGTAATAATTCCTCTTCAGTAATTTTAATATTTACCGGAATTAATGTTTTGCGTTTTTATGGATTTAGGGTTATGAACAATAATGAATTTGTTACATTGCAGGTATATAGCGATGGGGAGGTACACCAGCCCTAAATATCAACTATTTAAGAAATATATATCCTAAATATATCATTACTTTTGGGTTTTTTTGCTTTTAACATGTTTTCCATACTTTAAATGCATGGTTTGTCTAATGGTAATGAAGATACCCACGGGAGTTTCACTATGGATATTTTTACAACAACTAAAGCAATGTGAAATAATTGGTTGCATCAATGATGAGTTTATTGAGTAATTAACCACTCATTATTAGTATTTCCTGATATTTTTGTAGAAATGTCATTTATGTTTCAATTTGATTTTAAATATAAATGTTTTCATGTTGTTATTGAGTCATTTATTTGGAATGAATTGAGATATCCTAACTGTTACAACCAGAACATATCATTCGGCTTATTTTTCTACCTTCACATGATTCGCCATGCCATCCTTTCTCGCATCCTCCAGGTGGACATTTTCCTGAAATTGTATTGCATGGTGTAGTCAAACAATAACACGTCATTGTACAGTTGTCACCGAAATACCCATTTTCACATCCTGAAAAGTAGCAAAAGCATTTGAATAAGGGAATGAAAACAATTGCTATTTTCATATTATATAGATATGAACTGCAGTGTGTTTTTGTCTCTCATTTCCTTCCAAATAAAGAATGATAAACTGATTACAAAACCAACCTTTCTGTCGTATTGATTTAAAGGGTTTAACGGTTAACAAAAACATTCGTAGGTGAATTGATTGACCTATATTTTGTGTCTGTGTCTCATTTGAAAGAGATATGTTTTCGAAGTCTTAGATCTTAAGATACCAGAAAAGTCCTCCGGTCTGTAAATTTACAAAAAGTGTGATATCACGCATTGTGGTAAGTGGATTTTGTGTCATAAAACTCCTGAAGTATTTTAGTATATCTACATCATTGGCTTTACATTTTTTGAAGATTTGAGCATTCCTAATGAAAGAAAATCCAGAAATGCACTTCGGTTGCACAAGCTTTATAATTTTGTTATCAGGTACTGAGTCAATACCTCTATTTGTTAACTCCTGGTCCCCGATGGTTCAATGGTGAGTGCTTACCATTGAGATAATTTATAAAAATTTTTATAAAGTTTCCGTTGAAAAAAATAAAAAAAATATTAGGAAACTACGGTTCCAACTCCCTCAGGTAGAGTTGACAGTAGATGGATTAAATTATTCCTTTAAGGTAACAATTTTTTGGTAAGAAAAGCTCCTAACATATTCCTTAATTTTTTTTTTGTCCTTGCTTATTTAAATTTTGTTTTAGAGTTCCCAGTGAAGGTACATTCTGAAAATTCTTCGGATGCACCAACATGACCGATTTATAAAATGTTATTGAAATTTGATTAAGTGTGGTTTCGAATTGAGGGTACTGCAATACAAGAAAAGCATACTTGTCATCGAATTCGGGCTCACTTTTTTGAAGCTCATGCAATACCATCGGGATCTGTTTTTTTTTTACCGAGATTTGTATATTCAGAATAAATTTACAACTTTTGAACATCGAGGCTGTACGGTTGCCTAAAGTGTCAAAAGCTAAAAAAATATATATATAATGTAAAGTTATCTGCATTTTGCCAAAGTTACTTAATAATGAATGTCATACAACAAAGTATATCAAAGAATATATAAATATATATACTATATACTATGCTTTACATACTTTTGTTGCAGTACTCGTCGTATAAATATCCAGATTCACATCCTGTTGAGTTGTAACATAATCCATTGACAGAATCACAAATATGTGATATACACCCGTAACAAAATTCCTTACAGTTTCTGCCAAAATTACCATTGTCACATTCTAAAATATTGCATATCATACAGTTTACATTCTATAAGTGTGACATGGCCGTTGTAATAATTTATTTTAGCATTACTGACGGTAAAATGTTAATTTGTCTTTATTCAGAAAAAAATTATACTTATTTTGTTGACTCACCGTGTCTTACCCCTCTTGGATTTCCTGAGATGACAATGCATGTAAAACTGCTCAAACATCCATAATCCTCTGCATATTTACGATACAATTGACATTAACATTTGCAAATAAAAAAGATTCCCTTTCCTTTCGTCAAGCTCAATTGTTTGTTTCAAGCATTCAAAACCAGTTTTAATCGCACCGAGTATACCACTAAATGATGTATCAAATTTTAAATACCTTTGATTGTCGGGTATAAGGCTTTATTATAGAAAAATGTGACCACAGATGTTTCACCAGTGGTTAACTCAAGTTGATTAATAATACAAATATAAGTTTTTATAAAGTTTGGTAAATTTTATTCTTTTGTATTATAATATACCGAAACAACCGTTTCCATAATACCTAATGGATATAACTTTTGTCTCTTAAGTTCAGATGTTGTCGGCTTTTTGTCGCTTTATAATTAGGAGATAACTGTATTGTATTGTAAGCTTGGCCTTCGTAAAACGTAGATTTTACTGTCGCAAATTAGTTTACATAGCGACGCATAGCGGATCTAGGTATATGGATATTTGCGACAGTAAAATCAAGTTATACAGTTATCTTTATTTTAATGCAAATAACAAAATGTGACTTTTTTCCCCCCTTTTTTTTTTGAGAAATTGCATACTAAAATCGGAATTGAAAATAGTGGTTTTCTTTGGTTATGAACTGTTATGGACTGGTAGAACGTGGAATCTAACGCTTCAAAATATTTGTCAACGTCCAATAAAAATATTATCGTTCCAAACGAATTGCATTATAATTTCTGAATGTCTCCTTGGTATCGCCTCTTTTTATACGTAACTATACTAGCATACCATTTGAAATGTCAGTATATCGTGTGTATCTTCTTTTAAAATTTTCTTTTTTTTAAATCAATATATTTTTATGTATTGTTTTCTGTGGTATCTTTTGAGAAATGATTTCGAATATTGTACACAATCTTGACGATATACATATATACATTTGATATAGTTTAACAGTTGGCATGTGTGTAATTCTCTTGATCTCCAGATGTGGTAAACCTGTGTAGTCGGGTCATTGACTAGTTTTTAATTGAACATTTTGTATACCTTTATTGCAGTATTTCCCGTATTGGTAACCAGTTTTACAGGCGGTTGTGTTAGAACACAATCCATCGGATGGTTCACACCTGTTAGATACACAACCTGTACATAATTTTGAACAGTTCCTTCCAAATTGACCAGTATTACATTTTGCAAAAATACCAAAAATATCCTTGATATTTATACATGTAGGTAGCTAAAGGAGGTTTTTCGTATCTATCATTAACAGATAGAAATAGAGGATAAAAAATCATTTGAAAACCTGTTTACATTCATATAACCCTGAATTGACCGAATGAATGTGCAGATTAAAATGTTCTATTGAATTAGATACGCGGCAACCAAAGCAAGATGAACTCTGGGTAGACCAACAACGATGACGAATTCGGCTTGAAAAAAAATTCGTAAAGAAATGTTAGCGAGATAAGCCAGGACCACCATTACTATTGGGAAACAACATGATAGATGAATGAGTTTAAAGTCTTCAATTAACTTGAAATCGTATGCAAAAGTTAAAAGACCTTACCTGATCGTAAGTATGAGATTAAATGTAATATCGCGTGAATTTACGATTACAAAAAAACGTTTTAAACACAATGAAAAAATAGATTGTGCGTATTTAATAAAATTCAAATTCACATAATATAGTTTCTAAAAATGTAGATTACCGGGTGAATAACTTGTTATTAACAAATGTGGTCATGTGAGAGGCTGAATAAAAGAATATTAAGAATAATTTCAACAATTGCAATTTGCAACACAGTGGTTTATATTTTACATTTTGTCCACAATGTACCTGTACACTTTCTGCATATGAAATGGACGAAAATCTCGTTTGATACAACATCATCTTACGCTAATTCATGATATTTTACATTTATTATATTTCCTGGAAAATGTAATAAATGCAAATTATCATGAGGACAAAATGTAAAATATAAACCACTGTGCTGCAAATTGCAATTGTTGAACTGTCTTAGGTTTCTAGCAATTATTTATGTAATTTGCATTAACCCATTAATAAATGAACAGATAATTGATCAACATTCTAAAAGATGTTGGTTTGACACATGCAATACATTTTTCAGCTCAGCTCAACAGTTTAACAGTTGGAGCAGTCGATTTGTATTCTCCTAACATCCAGTTGTTTATTCCTGTCTTGTTTGGTCATTGGCGTGAACATAGTTTTCATCATATTTAAACATGCATATAACCATATTTTAAACAGCACATTTTACATACCGTCGTGGCAGTATTTCCCGTATGTATACCCAGCGTTGCATGCAGTTATGTTAGAACACAGTCCATCAAAGGGTTCACACATGTTAGATATACAGCCTGTACAGAATTCTGAACAGTTCTTTCCAAATTGACCAGTACTACATTCTGTAACAAAACAAAAACATTCCCTTGATACACTTGAATGTAGGTAGTTGAAAGGGATTCTCCGTTTCATGCGTTCAAATATAAATACAAAACTTTACTAAAATTTGAGGTAATGAAAATGATTTAATGCAAATAAAATTTGAATAATATGATCCATATTCATGAATCAAATGTTGATCGAAATATTGTTCATGAGAAAAACAAGTCACCTAAGAAGAGGATTAGTTTGGTCTAGATAAATTTCTTCACGAGAAACAGATATGTTGGTACCAATGTTAAGGCGTTTCATGATAAATTTTTTTTATCGAAAGGGTGGATTTTTTGTCTTTATGCCACATATTGTTCAAAACTCTATCCATATTTATACAACCCTGGATTGACCTAATGCATGAACAGTCTTACAAAACTGCATTAGATTGTATAACGTGTCTACCAAATAAAAATTTCTTCATGGTAAACTAAACAACAACTTATATGAATTCGACAAAAAAAAAGAAACCGTGTAGAAGTTGCAATTTCGAGCACAGAGTTTTATATGTATATTTTTATTTATCTCGCATTCATTCTACAGTGGACATTTTCTGCGTATAAATTAATGAAAATGTTCGTTTGGTACAATATATCCTTAAAGTGATATACTATAAAAATTTTATGTGTTTTGAGGAAATGTTAACAGCAGTTTTTGTTTTGTTTATCCAAAAAATTACGCACTTATATAAAATAAAGTTTAAGTTGTGGATTAGGTAGAAATAGGGAACATGAACAGTTAATTGTTGTTGTTTCAGGAAACTGTCACAACATGCATTAACCATTTGTTGCATATATTCATAAACAACATATGTTTAGCTTAATTATAAATGATTCGCTCATTTATCAAGGATTTGCAAAATTTTACAGAAACTTCAAATACTTCCTTATTTAACAATTATAAAAAAAAGTCTCTTGATCTCCATGACATTAATATAAAACAGTTTAATAGGAACACTTTATATACCTTCGTTGCAGTATTTCCCGTATTTGTAACCAGGTTCACAGGCGTCTGTGCTGGAACACAGTCCGTCAAATGGTTCACACATGTTAGATACACAACCCGTACAGAACTTTGAGCAGTTTCTGCCAAATTGGCCAGTACTACATTCTGCAAAAATGCGAAAATTTGCGTTTGTTATACTGAACATGTTAAGTGTACATGTAAGTAGCTAAAGTAGACTCTCCATTACATGAATTCAAATACAACAAAAATTGTCCGATATTAAAGGTCATGCAAATGACATTTGAATGAAATAATAAATATACATGTACCAATGTGTATTCAAACATACTTAGTAGTTTAATTATACCCCACGCAACGAGTTGCGGAGGGTATAATGTTTTTGACCCGTCCGTCCGTCAGTCCTGTTTCTTGTCATCGCAACTCCTCTCAAACCACACAACAGAATTTCACGAAACCTTTTTAGATAAAAAGCACATATTATGTAGTTGTGCATATCGACAGGTAATTACGATTCAATTTTTTTTCTAGGAGTTACGCCCCTTTGAACTTATTTGCTTCAATGTACTACTGCAACAGTTTGTCATCTCAACTCCTCTGAAACCACACAACAGAATTTCATGAAACCTTTTTAGATAATAAGGATATACTACGTAGATGTGCATATCGACAGGAAATTACGATTCATTTTTTTTTCTAGGAGTTACGCCCCTTTGAACTTATTTGCTTCAATGTACTTCTGCAACAGTTTGTCATCTCCACTCTTCTGAAACCACATAACAGAATTTCATGTATAATGTTTTTGACCCGTCCGTCCGTCAGTCCTGTTTCTTGTCATCGCAACTCCTCTCAAACCACACAACAGAATTTCACGAAACCTTTTTAGATAAAAAGCACATATTATGTAGATGTGCATGTCGACAGGAAATTACGATTCAATTTTTTTTCTAGGAGTTACACCCCTTTGAACTTAATTGCTTTAAGGTACTACTTCAACAGTTTGTCATCTCAACTCCTCTGAAACCACACAACAGAATTTTTATGAAACTTTGTAGATAATAAAAACATACTACGTAGATGTGCATATCGACAGGAAATTACGATTCATTTTTTTTTCTAGGAGTTACGCCCCTTTGAACTTATTTGCTTCAATGTACTTCTGCAACAGTTTGTCATCTCCACTCTTCTGAAACCACATAACAGAATTTCATGAAATTTTGTAGATAAGAAGGACATACTATGTAGGTGTGCATATTGACAGGAAATTATTATTCAATATTTTTTCTTATACAATTTTTTTTTGTTACACTTATTTAATTTCTCCAATGACAATGTGGGGACGTGGGGTATGTGAGCGTGCTCACTAAGGTTCTTTAATTTAATTTATTATTCTACATGTCAATATGCCAGATTTTGATTTGTTAATACGAGGGAGCAATTTACTCTATCCCATGGCAAATACTCTATTACCCTTTACAGAGACGCTTGCTCAAGTGTGCGCTTTAATAAATACGGATGATTGTTATGTACAAGACGACATAGTTTATTACTTTGAATTTGAAATTTAATAGACAGTAATAACAGAACATTCAGTATAATGAATTAAATAACACATATCTGAGAGGTTTATAGAGCAAATTGTTACCCCTCGAAAAGACATTGTCAACCTTGGATTCGACTCAGTTGACAATGTTTTCTCGGGGTAACAATCTGCTCTATCACCCTCTCAGCTATGTGTTATTTATATACTGGCCAACTTTATTCGCCAAAACTACGAATTTGTTAAAATTGACAGGATGTACGATTTTCAGGACAACATTATATTATATTATTTTGTAGATACGAATAACAGCTACGTTGGTACCAATTTTCCATGCATCATCAACTCCAAATAAAAAAAAAATCTTACTGATTAACTTACAGAACTTTTGAAAATATTTAATAATCAATTAATTGATTAATAAAAAACGTCAGAAAAAACATTTGTCAGACAGATGAGATGAATTTAATTCGATTATTAAAGTGAAAGCAAATATATCTATACTTATTTTGCTTAAACCGGTGCTAGGGGCCGTCTTGAACTTGCAGTGAGGTGATAGTTTTTTGTTCCGTGTTGAACGCCTCACTGTTACTTTGAGATGAAAAACAGCAATAACAGTGCTGTTCCTTTGCTTTTTGTGTGTTTTTCACTGTGCATTTACTGATTTTGTGTCATTGATAGATACCCCATATCCTTTGTTTTTCTATTTGTCGTATTGTGCTACCGTAAGCTTTTCAAGAAGGTCTATGTTATCATTTTTGACGTGGATTTAACATTCCTGCAAAATGTAATGCGATCTGCTTCTGCTTTTAATTACGTTTAATAGTTTATCAAAAACGAGAGGAAACATATTTCGTGTATATCTATAGAGTTACATGTATGTACGTAGCTGTACAGCTGTCACCTAACAATACGATTTTTGTACATACTGTTTGATAATGGTATTTTTTTGCCATATTTGAACATACATTTTTACCACTGTTTAAAAAGCACACTTTATATACCTTCGTTGCAGTATTTCCCGTATTTATAAACAACCTTACATGCTGTTGTGATAGAACACAGTCCATCAAAGGGTTCGCACAGATTAGATACACAACCAGTACATAACTTTGAGCAGTTTCTGCCAAAATGCCCAGTACTACATTCTGCAAAAATGCGAAAATATGCCTTTGATATATATGAATGTAGGTAGCTGAAGAAAATTCTTCATTTCTGATATTCAAATATAAACAAAATTGACCGATATTAAAGTTCATATATGTAATGTTATGCAAAATAAATATACAATGTAAATTTGCAGTAAAACAAGCAACTGAATCAGTACATTAATTGGATCTGGATAACTTTCGTCACATTAACATTTAATTACAAATTGAATTGAAGTGAAGAGAAACAAAAGTAGTGATTTTCCATGTTTTCATTGCAATACAAAAATATCGTTTGAAACAACAACCAACCTTGCGTACAATTGGGTCCTTGCCATCCATCATTGCAACCACCCATGCAAATCCCAGTCAGGTGGTTACATTTAGGATCAAAACAATTTGTTGAGCATTGCTGAAGACAATCTTTACCGTAAAACATATCATTGCACTCTGCAAAAAATGAAAGTAATCGATATAACTTCATCTTTAACTGCGGCACCAGAGAACTGCTTAATGATATAAAAAAGTCGAAAACTAACGATTTCGTATTTTTATGTGTGCTGGGTACATATTCAGGAACCAAACCATGAGGGTGTTTTTTCTTAACATCTCATTAGTACTAGAGAGTCTTCTCAAAAGTTTTCAATTTGGGATTAAACTTGCTTGTTTCCCAAAGGATGCTCAAACGAAACATAACCTGACAGAGCTGCAGAATGAACTTATACCTGTTAATTTCAGTCTAAATTATCTTTTTCATCAACACTGACCATCTGGCTACTGGAAAGACTTTGAGAACTAGCAGCAGTCACGATTTCATGATTGCCAAAATAATTGACGAAAACATCTCTATCTATTTTACTCGAGACAAGAAGGAAAGCAAATTCATAAAAAGTTTAAATGAGTACCAGAAAAATCAGGAAAATAAATAGCCGTATACATGGTATAAGGTCAACTTTTATGAAAGGTATTAAAAACTTAGTTTTGAACATTTACTTTAATATATACTAACTGAAAATATATAGTTTTAATTTTCTCTGTTTTAAGGGGATATGCCTTGGAATCATTAAAAGTTTTCGTCTTGTTGTACGTTTCTTATATTCAATTTACACCATTGAATTGGAAAGGGTCGTGCATGATCTGCGAAAGTCGATAATTAAACGTTGCCTTTTAAGTGTAGGGTATAGTGAATGTGCCCTGTTTGGGTATCTTTAAACCCATTCCTAAACACTTGTAGGCGTACATTGTTGTGACATTTTTCACATGTGCTCAATAGGCAGAGCCATGACTGTTAAAACTGCGTAGTGGAAACATATTGTTAAGTTAATGTTAAAATTTATAGTAAGGTGTATAGCCTGCAATGTATATTAAAGGAAACATATTGAAAATTAGGATAATCTCAGATATCGTATTTTATTTTTCAAACAATGCCAGAAAGAAATATTCATAGTTTCACTCCTGCAAACAATTTCTGAGACACTTCTTATAAATAAGAAGATGTGGTATGAGTGCCAATGAGACAACTCTCCATCCAAGTCACAATGTATAAAAAGTGAACAATTATAGGTCAAAGTAGGGCCTTCAACACGGGGCCATGGCTCACACCGAACAGCAAGCTATCTTGTTTATATACCTTAAAAATAACAAATAATATGAAAAAAAACAAACAAAATTAACAAAATTAACATATTTTCTTTTAACTGTTAAGTTTATATTGTATCGACCAATAACCGTAGTTTAACTTTAAAAAATTGGAATACACATAGAAATTAATAGGGTCTTACTAGATACTTGATTTGCATGTACATGTACATTGTACAGGTCGATTTTAAATAATATCTGTATTTTTGGATATTCTTTTCAATGATTTTAAATGATCGTGTATTTGTGTGTCTTAAGTCTAAAGTATCCTAACAACATGAACAACAAGACATGTATTGTGGACTGAATTTCTGGCTTGTTAATATATGGAGTGGCAAATATAACGTATGCAATCAGGGTGATAACATATGTGTACATATCCGGGTAAATCATATTGTCTCTGAGCCTACATGTTATTGCTATTAGTCTTAAATTTTAATGAGCAGCATTAATGCATTGTTTCTCCCTTCTTTTATTTTGCGTTATCCTTTTGTCGGTGTTATCTTTTATATTCTTGTATTATTTATTCTTTTTTTTCATTTAATTGTTGCTTTTTTTGCCCATTGCGTATTAATGTTAAGTGTGTACAATCCAACTTGGTATGAATTATGAAAACTAAGACAGTAATCATAAAAATGTATTAAATTGAAAGAAAACAAATGTTTTACCTTGTTCACATTTTTCACCCATCCATCCATCTAAACAACCTAATGAACAATGACCAGTTTCAAGATGACATGGTCCACGACATGTAATTGGGCACATATACGTACAGAGTGGTCCATATTGTGCAGGGGGACAACCTAAAACAATGATACTCAAATATATTGTGCAACTTACTGTATCCTGCTACATTTATACACTTTCTTTCAACATCAGATCCGAAATAAGTCAGTATTTGTTATTTATTTTCCTGCACATTTTCCCAGAACGTTATCTGCTCGTATTAAGTTATTTTCAGAGTAATCTTTTACCGAGATATCACCATAGTTAAGACAAATATGAATGCCTTTGTCTAAACGCATTTGGTAGCGTTTTTATATTATAAATCAGGCAGTTCGTTTGGTTTTTTGAATTGTTTTACTCTTTGTCAAACCGGGGCTGTTCAGATAACTAATCGGTATGTTTTTCTTTTAATTTTCAAAAGCCGTACAGTGAAAAGTCATGGTTTATATCTCTGTCCTTTTGGTATTTATATATAGATAGTTGTCTATATGGCAATCATACCGCATCTTCCTATTTGTATACACATTTAAGAACCATCTATCTCTAATCATTCAATCACAGTGCATGAAGTAAAGGATATAAGCTAAGCCGATTACAGTCCATTCTGTAAACTATTGGACAGAATGAACTGTTAGAGGCCTATATCTTATTTAAAACATTGTTTAACATGTCAAAAATGGTAAAAAAGCAAACAAATACAAATTTATAAGCTTTTGTTAAGATTTATTTTGATCAAGTGTGTAAATTGTTTTGTGGATTAACTTTATTAATATTATCCTACATGTCCGCCCATTTAAACAGTAGCCAAACTTAAACAATAGACAAAAATAAAGTACAGTTGAAGGCAAACTACATAATTTAATTTCAAGAGAGTACATCGGTTTCTAAAAAAAACCCGATCACTACGAACAATGTGCGAATCGAACACACGATAGATTTCTTTAACCTCCGGGAACGTGTCCTTTTTTTTTCGGATTCCCATATTTATTCCCATATTTATCGTCGTTGATAAGCGAAGTTTTGCATTATATACCTATACAGGCAATGATGTAACATTTTTTAAACAAAAAAACTTGCAAATCAACGCCGATACCTGAAAATTATAAAAACTGTTGTAGCCCCCTAGTTAATGAAGCAAGTTCTCGATCTGCACTTTGAACACTGGGTAAGGTTTTTAGGTTGTTAATCAAATTATTGAATAGCTATCTTGTCCAAGGAACAATGTGTGGCTTGCACATAACTCTGGGTAAACAGTTACTTCAGATGAACGATTTTCTACTAATTATGATGAAAAAATTATTCTACTTGTGGTCCTTGTATTGCGACATGATCTATCAAGCATTAGAAGCATTATTTTATTTTTTCATTTTAATTGTAGCTGAAAATAATGTTAGGAAGAATGAGAGCAACACCAGAGGTCAATAATTATATCCAAAGACGGACGAGGACAAATCTTGTGCAAACAGAATTACATTAAAGCAACAAAAACAAAACTTACAACAAGCATTGTCAACCAAACTGATGCTAAAGGAAACAACCCAAAACATTAGAAAAATGGCTGTGAAATAAGTATTGACGCTGGCAGTGTTGACATCAATTTCAAAGTTTTTTTTTCAAGAAACCGTCTTGATGAGTGACGAAATTATTGTTTAAGAAGATGACCTTAATAAAATGTTTCTGTGTTATTGTCATTTGTTATTTCGAAGAAACAAATTGTGTGAATTGATTGATTTTTTTCTGTCCTAGAACTATCATTTACTTGTAAGAATCAATTGTGCTACCTTTAGAAGTCCAATATTTTTAAGAAAGAGGAGGATTATACTTTAAAATATTGGACTGTTAAAGGTAACCTGATAATGGTTTCTTACAGGTAAATGATAATCAATGACTGAAAAAAAAGAACGGGTACACCAATAGAATGACGTCACAACAATGTTTAAACGTCAAGGAATCGCCAGCATTTACTTTTTTCAATTTTTATGTATTTAAAAAAAATCGTATATCATTTGCACATTTAGTAAAGATAACACAGCTGCTCATTAAACTTACACTAAATGTATCTAATTTGGATTGAATATTTAGGATGTCTTTAAAAAATACTCGATTTATTTTTCCGGGAAAGGATTTTAAATGATACTTAAATGAAACTAATAGTAAATATATATATATATATATATATATATAAAGCTGCATTGATTCTATCACGATTAGAATAAGTATACAAAGGTCATCCACGTGTAATAGCGTTTGTTAACTAGATTTGATGTTAGATCTCTTCTATGAAACAAATAAAAAGTAAAATAACAAAAATACCGAACTCAAAGGAAAATTCAAATCGGAAAGTCCCTTATCAAATGGCAAAATCAATGCTCAAACACATCAAACGAATGGAAAACAACTGTCATATTCCTGACTTGATACAGACATTTCCTTATGTAGAAAAAGGTAGATTAAACCTGGTTTTAAAGCTAGCTAAACCTCTCACTTGTATGACAGTCGCATAAAATTCCATTAAATTGACAACAATGTGTGAACAAAACAAACAGACATTACCCAGATATAATATCATTGAACTGTCGTCCCCTCTTTTCCAAACAGAGGAATATCGCATGTAAGTCCAGTCGTCAATTCTATTAATTAGACTGCAAATTTATAATTATATTATAATTATATTATCATAAAAAAATGTTTAAGAGCAATTTCCTTTTAGTAGTTTAATCAAAATGGTGAATGTTTAAACTGTGATGTCTCTTAAATATTGATCATAATGTTGTATTATTTTGACATACATTTTTTATTGTAATTCCAATATTTGCTGTTTTAATTGATAAAGTCGGATTACAAATTGACCTCGCATGTGTCTTTTCGATTAAATTTATTTCAAACACTCACCAATAATTCCAATATCACATAGTTCAAAATGTGGAAACTGTGTTGGAGGTACATAAGTCAAGTATCTGCAAATTGAATAGATAGATTGCGGTATAGATTCTTGTTGATATAAAACAGTGCCAGTTCTCCATGCATTACTTGTGTCTGAAGCGTATATGGTATGCAAACCCACCGTTGACGTGTTCACTAAAATGAAAGAAAAAAAGAACTCTATATACATACTCGGATAGGGAAATTAATATTGTAACTTTAGAAATTAATGCATGTATATGTATTATTACGATTAACCATGAACAGAAACAAATTAAGAAATTGATGATATGATGCATATATTCAATGCAAAAAAATTAAACATGGTTATACCACATCGTCATAATGTTTGTATTGTATTTTAAGCAAAATAAACACATAACAAACATCAAAATAATTTAACAAATGTGTGAAACAAATGACTTTAACGAGTTATTACGCATGACAAACTATATTGGTCAAGAGCTAACGTCTTATATAGCTTTTTGTAGTATAGAGGTAAATTAATAATTAAAAACAAACAATATGCAACAAATAATGAGATAACTTACATGTAGCCATTTAGAATGAGCATAACATGTTTTGATTTAACAAAATGTCTTGATATACTTGTTTTGTATGTATTTAATGTATGTGAAAAAAAAACACATTCGCTATTTACCACCAAATGTTAAGTATATTCCTGTCACAAAGCCCTTTTCTTTAAGGTCAACCTGATACCATATTTCATTTCCCCATGTTTTAGAACAAGAGGTTATATTTCCATCATTTACTACCATAGCATTTTCACTACCACTAGGACTTTGCAAGACTGAACCATCAGATGCTACATTATCTGAAATTAAAATAATTTCCAGGCGTTTTCTGTAGAAGAGTTATTTTATTGTGCGCAGCAGCATTTAATTATTAATGTTTTCTTTTTCCATCAGTTGGAATAATTTTATAGAGAAGTGTGCGGCTGTCTAAAAATGGATGTTTGTCGAGCTTTCGGAAAGAGACATCATACACACTAAAGAACCTATGCAAAAACATTTTTATCTTCCCGTCAGTATCATTTGATCTTTTGAAATGGATCTAGTGGAGGGGTTGCAATAAGTATAGCTTGTAATTATAAAGGCGATACGAATAGTAGTGGCAATAGTATTTAAAAAGTATTAGGGAAGATCTTTTTCAATATAAATAGTAGGCTTATTGAGAGCAATTGATCATTATTTCTGTTGATTAACAAAACCATTATTCCATGAAATAATTACAACAAAGGTAAAACACAAATTCTCAAATTGTGCACACGCATACACATAAAAAGGTTCATTACAGTTTAAATATATCTGCAATGTTATTGAAATTTTAAAAGTTGTAGGTTAACAACTGTAGTAGGAGTTGATTGTTCAAAATGGAAACAATCCATGGAAAGTGTCTCTAAAACAATGAATACTTAGCTTCACCATCTTCAAAATTATTTTGTTACTTACTTCCAAAACGTAATGTATGCACACCAATTGAGGTACTTACTTTTAATATATATGCAAACATTTAAGAAAGATTAAAAAAACTCGGTTTTAAATATAAATTGGGCATAAGGTTTTACATATTCAAAATTGTATGCCGCGATCATCACGGAAGATACATCAATTGTCGTGTCCACCTGTTGCAGTAAAATCGGAACCATTACTCTGATTTAACAATACAAGTAGTAGTCAAAACAGTACATAGAAAACTAATGAGTGATCAACACGAACAACGCTAAACCTGGGGTAAACTCCGGTGCTTCGGAATGGTGAGCAATCGAGGAAAAGAAGACGGTACTGTTACGATACTTGACACATATATCTTCCATATAAGCAACAACCATCAATCCAGGAAATCATGATACGAAACGACAGCTCTGGAATATGATAAAAACTGTGAGATTTGAACTCCATATACAGGTGCTGTTGGAATGTTGCAAACTAGAAAGGTCCACAATTGGGAAGCTGAAATCATCGCTTTTGTCATAAGTTTTGTTCTCAATCGATCCTCATTACCAATCTCTAGATGTAAGACAAGATATGAGGCAGACTTAAATGTATATTTGGTATCCTTTATTCCAAGTTCGATGGGATAGATGCGTTCAACAGAGTCACCACACTTTCAATTATTTAGTAAGATGACATCATCTATATAGCGGCACGTTGCAGTGTTTGAAGCCTGTCTTGTATGAATAAAGAAACAAGTCGGCAAAAAGACAAGCAACAATATTTCCTATATGAATGCCGATTGTTTGCAGATATAATCATTTAAAGTTTATTGTTTGCTTGTTGTGTCGTTTTTTTTTTTCAGTTACAAATATTGGAATTTGGATGGGTTTGATTTTTTTCCAAAAAAGTGTGGATATTGAAGATGACTACACTTTCGAGAAATTGAATATTTTGGTTGAGTAATTTTCGAAACGCATCAGTATTATGTTAATAATTTATACGATATGTCCTGACGTAGAATTTTCAAAATCGTGGTATTTCTGACGGTGCATTGTCCCCTAAATTTTAGTTATTTTTGAAGCCAAATAAGACCCCGTTACTGAATATCGAAAAAAAAAATAATACACGAACATAGGTGTTATTCAATGTAGTAACTAAAACTAAATTGTAGGATATTAGATTCAAACATATATGTGAATGAAGTCGAAGAGTCGTATCATTTCGAAACAAAATAATGAAATTGCTCACATTTGTCACAGTACTTTCCCGTTCGTCTTTTTTTACAACCATCGGTGCAGACTGAAGTGTGTCTATCACATTTATCATTCAAACAATTTCCAGAGTTACATCCCCATACACATGCACCATTTCCAAGGTAGCAGTGACGCTCTATACAATTTGCTGCACAGGGGTTTTCACAATCACTTCCCCAGAAACCTTTCTGGCAACCTAAACGATTATGATAATATTTATTACTACTAACTTGCGTTGATATTAACTGATGTGAAAACATAACATTATGTTTATTGTTGAAATTCATTTGCAGAGGATAGAACAATCGGAATTATTTACTTAGAAACATGTAATTCGGCCCTACTTTGTGAGAAATTTAACTGTTTTTCTACCAGCTATTATTGAAAAATATTACGTTTCCGGCATTAGCTTACTGTTACATATGAAATGATTCATTTGCAAAACAACGAGTATCACACATGATGATTAGATAGAAATACATTAGATAAGACAAACAAAAGACACAGAAATTTTTCTTTAGAAAATGCATTCAATTTAGTTAATGTTTACTTCTTAAATAATAGGCGAGGGGCAAACAAAACCAAATACACATTGACTTCCTGAAACGCACCTCCAAGTACATATAGCAATTCGTGGTCGTATCGGTCGGGTTTTGAACAAATGATATTGGTCGTATGTCGAAAGACCGCTAGGGATATGTTGTTATAATTTCTCATTTCCAACTTGACATTTGTCACTTCCAAGATGACATTTGGCACTTCCAAGTTAACATTTCTCACTTACAAATTTTGTTTAATTATAGTGCAAGGCTTAGACCATCCATCTTTGGTATTAGGGGGCGGCATTGGTTTTTTTTTAAATGAATTTGTGTAATTCTGAATGTCTTGGGGGGGAAAATAAGCAAAAGCAATTGGAATTTGTTTCGAGAAAAAAAACCTCATGTACAGATCTGGTGAAAGGCCGGTGCCGTATGGAATAAATCATTTGTAAGAAATATCTCGTGTAGTTTAAAATAAGAAATGATCGATTCTACGTTATATTAGAAGAAAGACTTTTACTTTTATTAAGTTAATTCAAACAAAAAACAAAAACAAAACTGATGAGTCAAGCCTTTGCCAACTGATTTTTAATATTTATGTAGCTGTCACAATACTGTTCGAGGTCAATGGGAAGGTTATACGCTCAGAGAAAAATGTTGAACCGTCATCTTTCTTTATGTTGATGTCCATTGTCAGGAGCCTGTAAATCAGTGGTTGCCCTTGATTGTTACAAGTTATATTTGTGTATTGTTGTAGAATAAATCAGTTTTCTGGTTTTGTGATTTGAAATAGTTCATATTTATCATGCCGATGGCTTGGTTTTGTTCTTAATTTGAAGACTGTGAATTAATTGTCTTGTTTGTCGGCCCCAGTTGTGTCCTCTGACGGTCCGAGTTGTCTGCAATGCATCCCTTCAAGTCAACTCAATAATATATTGTTGTTGTAGATTTTAACGTGAGACTGTCCTACTTGTGTCGATAATTGTCCTGATTTGTCGTTTGAAATATTTTTTCAGCGGGTCTAGTTGCCTTGTATTCGGACCTGATTGTGTTTCAAATTTGAAGTTTGGAAAGAGTTCAAGAAATGCATGACTAGTAGCACGATACATAAATAAAATTGAGAATGGAAATGGGGAATGTGTCAAAGAGACAACAACCCGACCATAGAACAGACAACAGCAGAAGGTCACCAACAGGTCTTCAATGCAGCGAGAAATTCCCGCACCCGGAGGCGTCCTTCAGCTGGCCCCTTAACAAATATATATACTAGTTCAGTGATAATGAACGCCATACTAAACTCCAAATTGTACACAAGAAACTAAAATTAAAAATAATACAAGACTAACAAAGGCTAGAGGCTCCTGACTTGGGACAGGCGCAAAAATGCGGCGGGGTTAAACATGTTTATGAGATCTCAACCCTCCCCCTATACCTCTAGCCAATGTAGAAAAGTTTGGTTCTGAATGGACTCGTGCTTTACGGAATATCATGATTTGTGTTATTTAAAAACAATTGAGATTGAATCAATTTATTTGTTATGATAACTGTCAATGCATGATATACAAGTATTTAATATGTACACGTAATTTACTAGACATAATACTAACGCATAACATACCATTTATGACAACATAACATAATTCTATAATACTTCCATGGTCTCCATTTCCAATTTTATCATCATAATAAATCACATAATGTCCAATTTGATTGCAGGAGATAGTCTGAGTGATATTTGGTTCATCTTGATCAGGATCTTGGTAACATAGATAACTTGTAGTAGCGGTAATGGTAGAAGTATTAGTTACATATAATTTAAATCCATCCATCCTATGTGCAACTGTAATCAAAGTTACATAAGTTGAATTGCAATTGGTATATAAATTAATGACCGGGCTAATTATCTGACAGATCGAGATGTAAACATTGTATTCCGGTACCCTTCATCTACCGATGTTGGTAGTATACATTGGCTTGTCTGTGTAACTACCTAATGTCTCCATCTGAATTACTATCATACATGTCATGGGAGCAAGATGAAAATAAGGAGATGTGGTTTAATTGCAAATGAGACAACTATCCACCAAAGTTCAAATAAAGTGGATGTAAGCAATTATAGGCAACCGTACAGCCTTCAACAATGAGAAAAAAATATACTGTATAGTCGGCTATAAAAAGGACTGATTGGCGAGATCGATGTGCTTGTCATCAATTTTTGCACCGAAAATGAAAGCTTTATTTGGTATAATTTGATATAATATCAACTCTTTGAATACCGTATTCATGTATTAAGTTTGTGAAAATATTATGAA